TTCTATAGGAGAGAATGTATATCCTCGGCTTCTTCTCATACCAAAACTAGGACGTAGTATTTCATCTACTTGTTTGTGCCTAGACCAATTGTCGACTCATGACTCTTGTTTTCTTCTTGATCTTAAATTTTATTGAAAAATATTTACTTACTTACTTACATGCTTTACTGGCGTAGACACCGTTTACGCGATTATAGCCGATTTAACAACATTGCGCCATTCCTTTGATCTTTTTGCTCTTAGGCGCCAATTGGAAATACCAAGTACAGCCAGGTCCCTCTCTACCTGGTCTTTCCAACGGAGTGGAGGTTTTTCTCTTCCTCTGCTTCCACCTGCGGGTACTGTGTATTCTTATCTTAATTTGCTGAACAATGTCAATGTTGCCGTATATCCCATACAGCTCTTCATTTAACCGCCTGCGGTATTCGCTACTACCAACCCGCAGAGGACCGTAAGTCTTACGCAAAATTTTTCTTTCCAAAACTCTTAAAGCCGACTCATCAGCTGTTGTTATCGTCAACGTGTTTTCGCACCATGGTAAAATACTTACTTATATATAATCCAATTAAATTTTCCCTTACACACACACTCGCATGCATAAATGCCCATTATAAATTCAGAATATTTATTATAAATATATTTTTCTCTAGAAATTTTCGCAATAATTAATTGGAGACGCCCTTGCAATTATTTTCTTAATAAAAATCGGTGACATCCCAAAATGTATTAAAAATCTTACGAGTAGCTGAAGGGATTAAGGGTGGAGCATATAAATACATATAAAAAAACACTTAATTGAAAAACATGAAAAAATGTATATATAATATAACGTAAATAAATAGAAAAGGAAACAGAAATCAATTAAAAAGTTGTAAAAAATTTCTAAAAATTATTATTATTTTCTTTTTCTCACAAAATTTATTGTCAAAACAAAGGCAAATATACAAAATGCTTCCGGCCAAATATTTCATTTGACTAATGAATTTAGTAAATTTAGGGCATTTTGTATGCTGCAAGATATTTACACATATTTATAAGAAAACAAAACTGATATTTCAAAACAACAACAATAAATAAATACCAAACTAAAACCGTGTGGCTGTGTTAAGAAAAGCTAAAACAAAATGTTAATTTCTTAGCATATGCGGCGCTGAGACAAAGGCGGAATTTCGAAATTCCTTTCATGCTACGCAGAAGATAAATAAGCCTTGAAAACAACGAGCATCAAAGTTCAAGAAAAAGTTTTCAATCACGACTGCAGGCGCAAAAGTGTTAAAGTAAATTAAATTTCATGGAAAGTTTTATGTTGTGTGTGCTCCTGCTGTGCTGTTGTTGAGCTGCGCTGTGGTGTTCCTTGCAGCGTCAATAGTAGGCGAAAGTTTTCAATAAAATATAAATACGAGTATAAGTATATAAAATAAAATATTTCGCTATATGTTCGTGTGTATGTGTGTTGAGTATATCTCTGATGCACAGACCGAAAATGGTTACTTCAACAGCGCCCACGGCGTATGAGTAACTTGCATATATTGAGCTGCATATATGTATGTATGTATGTATGTTCACAGATTGTGAAGAAATAGGCGAGGGGTAAAACAGAGACTGAACGCAAATTGCTTGTGGAAGCAAAGTCAATGGTGAAGGTTGAAATTTAAGCAAAGATGGTGATAGCTAAAAGAAAAACATATTGACAAAGAATAGGGAAAAATTAAAAAAAATTTGTTTGGGAAACTTGAACCGCAGTAATTTTAAGCAAAGTAATTGTAATTGAAATTAGGATGCCATGTTGCTGCTGCTTTAATTGATATAAATATAATAATTATATATATATATTCAATATATGTGTATATTATTCAATATATATTATTTCAATTATTTATTATATTAAATTATATGTATACCATAGGATTGAAAGTTTAAATAAAAAATTAAAATATTGAAAGATAAATAAAATATCATAATTTAAAGTAATTAATTAATTTTCAAACGAATAAAACAAGTAAGATATAAATATATAAAGTTAAATGAAAATATATAAAAAAAAAATAAATATTATAAAGAAACAAATTTTAAAAACATGAATTAAAAAAAATAATAAAAGATAAAAATAAAAACAAAAAATTAAAAATAAAAAAATAAAAAAAGGAAAATAAAAATGTGAATAAAAAAATATTAAAAATGAAGAATTATTATAATTGTAAGGAAAAACATATAACATTATCAAAAAAATGCAAACATCTATTAAATCAACTCAAAAAAAATAGTGAGAGAAACAAATAAATAAATTATAATTTCAAATCATAATAGTTCAGCAGATCATAAATTAAAATTTGGATTTGAAAATTAAAATTAGTACAACACGTTTTTTTTTTTTAATTGCCTTTCAAATAGAGTTTCTTCACACTCGAATCAAATAAATTATTTAATCTGATTTTTTTTAAATATTTACACATATAAAAAAAAATTCAAACAAAATAAAAATTTTTAATAAAAAAATTTTTTTGAACATTCAAAAATGTGAAAGTAAAACCAAAATATTAGAACCGAAGGGTTTCCAATAGAAAAGAACAATTATTGCTATTTTGTGGGTAAAAGCACATACATATGAATACATATATTATATATACATATATTACGTACAAGTATTTCTGTTTGAACCTGAAAAATAATTTGTTTAATTATTTTTTTTACCTTTCCAAAATTACTTGTAAAGCTACAGTACAATAAATGTTGAGAAAATATCTGTTTTTTTTTTAAATAAAATATTTTTTTCATGTTTCAAATATTAGAGCTAAAATACTACAAAATTTTTTTGAAAATAACTATTTTTTAATAATTTCAGAAAATATACTAAAACTTGAACTGAGAGTTGATGTGTTTGTCACAAAAAGTTGTAAGAAATAAGTACTTTCAAAAAAAAAAAAATAAAAAATTTTCTCTACAAAGCCAAAAACTAAAGTGAAAAAAAAGTATAAGAAAAATATTTTCATAAAATTTTTTCTTAGGAACAATACGTATTGGTAATTAAATCACGTCTACAAACGTTTTATTTTAACTGTAATTTAACGAAAATTTTTAAAAAGTAAAGTAAAGTAAACTATGAATTTTGTAACAGAAAAAATGTGCTTTGAGGTAAGTACAAAAATAGCATTTATTAAGCAGCAGTATGAACCAAAAGAAAAAAAAAATAAGTAAAAAAAAGTACAGATAAAACTATGTATAAGCCAAAAGTGCTTCAAAGTCAACAAGATAAAAAACGTCAAATCCTTTTTTTTACCTTTGAAAGCTCAGTGATATTATTTCCCTTTAAATGAATACTTACATGGAAATGTACGTACATATTGACAACCATTCATGTATTTTTTGCTACCACCCACAACTACAACTTCCTACACACACACTTGAAAAGTATTGTTGTTGTGTCTGAAGCAAATTATTGATCAATGCAAAGAGTTAGTGAAACATAAAAAGTGAAAGGATAGAAGGATATCACTGCTCTTAGCTCAAAAAGAGCAGAAAAATGCACACAATTGATTTTGCAACCAACCAACTGCGAAGCACATATACGTATTCAAACATATACCCTTAAACACACACTTGCATGCTAGTTGTTCGTACGTAGGTGTATAGCAAAGGATATTTCACTATTCATACACTCGTAAGCAGTGCTTTAACACTTTTAGTCCAAAAACCCACACGCTAACGAATTGGATAAGTTTTTCGAGTGTGATATGGTTAGTGATGACGTGCAAAGTTGGTAGAGATAAATGTACAAGTACATATATATATATATAAATATATATGTGTAAGGAAAATTTGACTTGATTGAAAAGGTTTTCCCCACACAATAGCTTACATAAAACTACTTACGGAACTTAAATTTGTCAAATAGTGCAATCACTTTTACTTTTTTTTTTTATAAAACTGCTCAATCCATTTCGCACTGGGTATACATGAAATTCAACACAAAATTCACTCTGATGGCTTAAAGTGCGAAAAGGATACATTTCTGCTTGACAAACAACTTCAAGCGGAAGTCTGGTATAGTGTTGCTGGCTTTTAGCAGTACCAAACACACATACATACATACGCACTTGCATATATATATATATACAGTCAAAAAATGCTCTTGCCGGATATTGGCAACGAGGCTTTTGTTGCTCTTTCGCTCGCTTGTAGAGCTTCATCGCCATCAACTCAGCTTTGCGCAGGAAATCCGAGCAAAATTTGCTGGCACAGCAAATAAATTAAGCCATCAATTTTAGCGTAAATGCAAATATACCTATGTAAATATCGTGCATATATACATATGTACGATAAGTGTGTGCATATATTTGTATACAGGCAGGTGTAGGCATATTTTTGGTTTCTTCACTTCACACAAAAACTTATACACTCACAAAGTGGTGGGGGGGTTGCAATATTTTGGGTATCTCCAAATAACACTGAAGCCATTCGTGTTTCGAGTGTTGAGAGAATATTTATCACTCATGCACGCGCGCACATACACACATAGTTTCCTGTTTCACTAGCACATAATTCATTTGTTTACACATTTGCATACCTATACAACGAAATATAAAACAAAAGCAACAAATGAATTTTGGGAAAATGAGAAAATGCTAGTTTTTATGCACTAAAGCTTAGTGTAGACATTACTTACGGCACCAAAGAAGTGTGAAGTTTTGATAATTTTTGTTTAATGCTGTGGTTTGCAAGGGAATTTAATACCATAAATTTTCGTAAGAGATAAATTTAAGTTTTCCATTTCTTTTTAAATTTTTTTAGCTATATTTCTATCTTTCTTTTTAATTAATTTTGTGCTATAATGAAACTATTAAAGACCTACAGCCATTTAAGCACTAATAAACAGTTTTAAAGCTACATTGTAAAATATTTCCTTCTGAACAATAGTTTATAAGCTAATGTAAATAGGCATCTCTGCCGGAGTGCTACAAAAAACGAAATTTTGTTAGCAAATCCTTTTAAACATACATTACCTTGATGGAAGATCACTTCAAACAAAATTTTAACAAAACTTATTTGCAGCAATATCGGTCTTTAAGAATAATTCGCGATAAAATAAGTTAACAACGTATTCACGCACTCTATATAACCCTTTACTGTAGCGCTCCGCGCCTGCTCTTAAAATATTCAAAACAACAAGAAAGACACTGATGTTACATTAAGTACATTTTTTGTTTTCAAATTTAGCACTTTTGCTCTTAATTTGCAATTTTTAATAAACTTTTATACAAACGGGATTCAACAGCTGCACTTAACTTGAAATGGCGGCGGAAACGGTACTCAACGCAGAGTTGCAAATTTTGAAGAATATTAGTAAATAAATAATAAGTGGGGTGTGCAATAGATGTGAATGAAAAATAGTTTATTAAAACTTTAAATATTATAAAAGCAAACAATTTTCCCTGTTTAAATACTAATTTTGTAAAAAGTGCAAGCAGAAAATATATAAAAAGAATAAATGTCAATATTAATTAAGAAATAAAACGATAGTGAAAATGCCGAGTTGATGAATTATTTTTTTCTTACTTTTTTGTTTATCCATATCTCTTAGACTTTCGTCTTAGTGTATAGTTGAAGAATTGAAGGCTTTATTACCTGACGGCCGAGTAAATGCAAAGGTGATGTACCAGGCTTTTATTCTCTTCCGTGCATGCTGTGCACTCAGCTGACTCAATCTTAACAGGTTATTGAATGTGATATCTCAAGGGTAATGCTCCGCAAAAATAGTGGTCGTGCTATAATCTCCGCTCCCAATAGTAATGAGGTCCTTTTGCCTACATTGGAAATGTTAGAAGACCTTAAGTGTACCTCCAGACGATATTTGAAAATTTCTTCTGCCGGCAGGTGGCACTAACAGCATCTATAGCGGCTCCAGAGTAGGTCAGTTTGTCCTTCTTACCTTAAATCTACATCCACATTTTTTTATTTTTTATCCGTTATGAATGATGAATTTAATGAAAGCCCATATATCTAATATTAGTATTTTCCGAGCAAACATTTTTGAAAATTCTTAAAAACGAGTAAGTTCAATCCACTTAATAAATTAAACAACAATTTATTTTCCTTTAAAATGTTGGCAACGCGGCTGCCGACTACTGCCACTACTTCAAGTCAAGTAAGTAAATTTTTAATCTCTGCCGCTGATGAAAGAATTGTAAGTGTTTAATGGAATGTTAGTGTCAAAAACCTTGCGTTTTTTTAATATTATTACAAAGGTGCTGAGATTCGAAAATGTGTAACAAATAGTGTGTATAATGTTTTGTCCTAATATAGTTATGCGATCATCCTGATGTAATGGTTCCGACTAGCCGAGTAATGAAAAAGTTAGCGGTAGCAAATATATATACTCCGTAGAAATATTGTTATAGCACTCAAAAAATCAGTTTGGAAGGAAAATTGAAAGTACAGAAGAAATGAAAAAAGCATTTAGCGTTTAGCTTTGAAAATTTTGTTTAAAAATTGCGCTTACTCGCTATTGTCAGCTGATGCAGAGAGACACGACATTTGTATTTCGTGAATCAGCGAAATTTGTTGCATACCTTTAAGCGCACTAGTTAAATTCAATCAAATGAATTTCCGCAATGACAGTATGAAAGCTTAGGTAATGGGGAAATTCCTTTATGTGATGCCAAACAGTCATATCAAATGCTTGCACTCCGATCAACGCAACGAAAATTTATTTCTAAGAAATATATTGAGTAATTTTATTGACAACACTGACACTTCTGCGGGGATACACCTATGCATACAAGAAGAATATGCTTTATATGCGAAATCACTGCTACATTGTCACAATGCATTTATGCATTTGCATTTATGTCTACTCATCACATTATAAACGCACGATTCGTTTGCATCTATTGCAGTATGTTCAATAAGAAAAGCAAAATACTGTTATTACTGTAGCTTTTCCGGCTTGCGCTTGCTTCCTTTTGATTGTTTGTGCCACTTTATTGACGTTGCATACATACATATATTATATATGTATGCTTCTATATAATGGTGACTCTGCAATGGTGGGAGTTTGCATGCAACTAAGAAATAAATTTTCTTGTCAACAACAACAACAATACCAATGGCTTAACAACAGTTTATAAGTGCATTTCAAACGAAAAACTTACTTTTTCAATGGAAACGTAAATGCGATTTTCCGCTAAAGCAAACATAAGTGCAATTGTTGGCGGTTTTATGAAATAATTGGATACAAAATAACAATGAATTATATATGCAAATGTGCAGGAGTAAGTGATGGAGAAAAAATATATAAATTTGAAGGGAATCTCTTAGAAGTTATATCACAAATAGGCACCGACAAAGAGTAAAAGAGCTAGAAATAACAGCTGGTGATACAATGGATCCTTCTGATTTCTGGGAAAATTTTTTTCGCAATAGACTGAGTGCTGCATTGAAATCTGTGTAAGGGTACAAGACGGTCAGTGAGGCTTTTTGGCGAATTTTAGCATGTCGGGCAGAGCATTGAAGTCGTGGAGAGTTTCTATATGAAAAGGGAAGGAATAAAGTTGCTTATTATAAATAAAGCACAAAATCTCATGAGATATATTATATTACTCCACCCTGCCAGAAATGATACCAAGAAACTTTTACTTCCAGTATTTCAATTTTTTATAAGCGAACAGCAAACAATAAGTGTTTTGAAGGTGAAGCATGTGCGTCGACATGGCTAACTCAAATATTTGCTAAAGATCACTCTGCAGCAGACATAATTCAACAGATTCTTCTCAAGTAAGCTACACTTGTAGGTGGTGCAGAGCGCCTATTACATTGAAACTCAACGGTCTTTATTGATTTAGACAACCGCTTGAATGAAGCTCAAGGATTCATACAAGTATATATATAAAATGCCTTCAAATGGCCTTGGAATATGTCACCACTTTGTATTGTATATTTCCCAGCAGTCGTAACAACAACAACAACAACTGCCACCGACAATAACCACAAAAGATACATCAATAATGGCATTTAATATTACAAAAAAAAAAAAAAAATCCGCATGCAGACAACATTGTTATTTGCTTTTGTTATTGATGCATTTTACAATATTTTTCCACGTCGTAATACTTTGCACTATACACTCGCATATTCATATACCCAACATACACGTATTTAACTATTTGCATGCTCTCAGCGCATGCTGCAATCATTCAATGGCTTCATCATCACGATTTCGTTGTGTACGTCAAACGCATTTCAAACAGTCACGCTTCGGCGAAGGATGAAAACGTAATTAAAAATGAAATGAAACTATACAAGTATATATGTATGTATACATAGAGCAGTGTAGCAGCTGCATATATATTATATATACATACAGACTTATGTGCAGCGCTCAAGTATAACCTTTACAAAATATTTTTCCTGACCACACACCATTGCACCCACGCGCTGCCTGGCATTAAAGCGCGAAAAAGCCACTGCAAATCTCGCCGCACACTGATATAGTCTCTATTATTTCCCACAGCGCTGAGATTACTTTTTGGCTGCGGCCATCGCTGTTGTGTTTCAGTTGCATTGAAAGTGTAGCTAAAGCCTGGTGTATGACGCTGTGGACACGCTTTTGCAACATGGCCACTAATTAGAATTGTCATACCAATGATAGTTAACAAGACAAACACGGCTTTCGCCCACCTATATAATGAATGTGGCATAGAGCTGCAGGGTCATAATAGCGGCATGAATCATATCTCCTTATATACGAGTATACCTGTAAGTCTCGATGTACATATGTATATACGCATTGCATATAGTAGTTGACATTCATCATTGGCATTTCATTAAGCATTCGTTCGCTCGTTCGTTCCCTCGCTCGCTCATTCCATTCATTGAGACATTCACTGGTGTTGTGCAGGCGGCTGTGCTTACAACAGTTGATTTTGCTTTCGACCACTTGCTTCATGAATATGCTGCCGTGCCAAGTGTTACTAAAAATAGTGAGATCCAGTGTAAACAGTTTATTTGATATTCACAAATGCAAATTCTATTGACTGGTTTTGATCTATGAATAGCAAGGATAAAAATACTGTACATGGATATGTGTGCATGTATATGAGTTCATAAGAAATTGCTCATTGATTGTTTCCGTATATTTTTGAAGGGCAAAACAAGAAGAAAATTGAATTGGGCTTGTAGCGCATTCTCGGATTTTCATCGAATTAAAATTCATTAAATCTTCCAGTTGCAGCTGATTTAGTATCTAACGTGCTGTTTTGTGCTTTAGTGGACTGTGTGTAAGCTTTTTGAAAATATATTTAAATGTGAGTGATATCAAAAGCCTAGAGCTGGTTAGCTGTGTCATGGTGTATGTGGTAGGCGTAAAATTTTACTGTAAATTTATTATATGAGACACATTTATCTGGGTATCCGAGAAAACCTCGGTTATTGTAGGCATTTTTCTCAGTAGCCGATTGTATGGATTTACATAGGCCGCGCTCTCTCTCTCTTCTTCTTTTTTGGCGTTGCCACTGCTTACGCGATTATAGCCGAATCAATTATAGCGCGTCATTCATCCCTTTTTTGCGCTCTTTGGCGCCAGTTGGAGGTATTAAGTGATACCAGGTCACTCTCCACCTGATCCTTCCAACGGGAAGTGGGTCTTCCTCTTCCTCTGCTTCCACCAGTCGGTACTGCATGGAATACTTCAAAAGCTGGAGTGCCTTAATCTCTCCGGACGACCTAGCCAACGTATCCGCTGTCTCATCATACACTACACTACGTTAATATCATCGTAATGCTTGTACAGCTTATCGTTCCATTGCCAATGCGTAAAGAATCAAAAATTGTTCACAAAACTTTTCTCGCGAAGACTGCTAGGACGGACAATAGATATAAAATAAGACCAACACTCCTTTGCGGAGCGATCGACACTCGGCAATATTTATTTAATACGACTTCATACCAAATTATACGGTTAGATACGGTCTAATAGTAGTTACTGATAACCACCAGAATACGAATTCTCAGCAGGAAAGAATAGACAGATAATTACAATACTCCAAATAATGGCCTGGAAATATGCACGGACGAGTCAAAGCTTGAGGGGAGAGTTGGCGAAGGGGTCTTCTCAGAAACTTCTCCGATGGAACTCTTGTTCAGGCCACCTGATCATTGCAATGTTTTCCTGGCGGAGATATTTGCTATAATGGTGGAGCTCAGCGATAGCCAAGTAGCAATAAAAGCACTGGGCTCGCACACGCACAGAACAGACTGTCTCTCATATGCGTCCCTGGGCACAGGTATATCGAAGGAAAT